ATGAGGACAGTGGGGGTGGGGTGAGGGCAGAGGGTAGGGTGGGAACCGGGTGGAGGGGAGCTATGGGGGGAAAAAAAGAGGAACAACTGTAATAATCTGAACAATAAAGATTTAATTTAAAAAAATAAAAAAATAAATACAGTTTAAAAAAAAAGCCATCGATTTTTGGGTGTTGATTTTGCGTTCCACTACATTGCCAAATTCATTTATTAAATCTAGTAGGTTTTTTTGTTCGTTCGTTTGTTTTTGGTGGAGTCTTTAGGGTTATCTATGCACAACATCATGTCATCTGCGAATAATGACAGTTTTACTTCCTTCTTTCCAATTTAGATGCCTTTTCTTTCTTTTTTTTTAAAATTAAATCTTTATTTTAAAAAAACCTGCTTAATTTCTAGTTGGTCCTTTTTCATATCCTCGAGGGTCTCACTAGATTTATCGAGGGTCTCACTAAATTTATCAGCGGTTTCTAGAAAATTCTTGAAAAACCTTATAAGTTTTACTCTATGTCCAGTAGTTTGCTTTCCTCCATTTCTGTCATTTTTGACCTGTTTCTTTGTTTCTGCATTTTGGCTGCTTCCCTCTGTTGATAGAGTGGCTTTCTGTGCCAGGTGTCCTATAGGGCCCAGTAGCTCAGCCTCCCCAATTACCTGAGGTGGACACTCTTGGTGCACCCCTTTGTGGGCTTTGTGCACAGTCTTGTTGTAGTTAAGCCTTGATTGTTTTAGGTATCACTGGGAGGAATTGACCTCCAGGCCAATTGGCTGTGAAAATCAGTTGTGTCTACAGTGAGAGAACTTCTGTGCTGGGGACACCCTCCTGGGGCAAGACTTGCTTCAGTGGGGCTTTGGTGCTCACTGATTCTGCCCCCTGAGTGTGTCCTTTATGTATCTGAGGAGTTGTAATCTGGATGGTCTCACTCTGACCACTGGGTACACTGGCTCTTGGATCTCTAAGGAGGTGCTAATTTAGCCTCTGCCTGAGGCTACCCAGCAGGAGCTACGGAGAGATCTGCAGATTCCTCTTCTTTGTTTGGGGTTTGGAGGTGCCCAGATGAGGCCCAGCTGTGAAGCAATGCAAGCTGCTGTGGGGCCTTGGGCCTTCTTGTAGATGTTGTGGGTCTCTCTGACCCAGCTGCAGTTTGTTAGGTAATTTTAGGTTGCAAAGGGCTAGGTCATTCATATGCAAAAGCCTCTGCGCACAGCTTGGGTGGGGCGGAGTCTCAGGGAATCAACAGGGAGGAGCAGACAGCTATGGCTGATCCTCAGCCCTGCCCTAAGAGGCCCCGGGTCTTAGTGTCCCGGTACTCGCTGCAAGCACCTGAGAAAGCCGCCCTCAAGTCCTGCCCGCTGCCAGACAGTCCAGTTTCTCCCTGTATGAGTCTGGGTCCCCAGAGACTCGCCCGGAACTGGAGTTCAGAGCAGTTGGGAGCTTGAGACTCCCTCCAGATTGAAAGAGACAACCGCGTCCTCAGTTGCCAGCCCTTTCCACCTGCGCCTCTGTACCTCTGCACTTTACTTCCGCTCCTCCTCTGAGTCTCAGTGTACTTTTCTCTTTCCTTCTAGTTGTAGAATTTCCACTCAGCCAGCCTTCCTGTGGTTCTGGATGATGTCCGTTTTGTCTTTTAGTTGTATTTTTGAAGTGGTTGTGTGAGGCAGCAATTTCCGGCGTTTACCTATGCCACCATTTTGATTTCCCCTCGATGGCTTTTTTTAAAAATTTATTTTATTTTTTAATAATAATTTTTATTTCTTAAAGTATTAAAAAGAGTATTACATATGTCTCCTTCCCCCCCACCCCCCTTGACACCCCCACCCCCCTTGACATTTCACTCCCCCCCCCCCCCCGTGTCCCCCCGTGTCTTGTGTCCATTGGTTATTCTTATATGCATGCATATAAGTCCTTCAGTTGATCTCTTAATCCCCCCCCCAACCCTCCCCAGGCTTCCCACTATAGTTTGACAGTCTGTTCAATGTTGCTCTGCCTCTGCATGTACCCCTGTTCATCAGTCTATACTGGTCCCCATTATCTGTCCCAACCTCACCGGGGCCGTCCCGACCTCACCGGGGCCGTTTCAGCCTCACCGGGGCCGTCCCTACCTCACCAGGGTCGTTTCAACCTCACCGGGGCCGTCCTGACCTCACCGGGGCCGATTCAACCTAATGGCTTTTTTTTATACATCAATAATGAATTCTCAGAGAGAGAAACTAAACAAACAATCCCACTTACAGTTGCAACAACAAAATAATAAGATACTTAGGAATAAACTTAACAAAGGAATGTGACAGAAGATTTTGTTGATAGACACCAAAGTTTGAATTTTATCTAATTTTCATGTGTTATAAAATATTAATTTTTTTAACCCTTAGAAAGTGCAAAAACCACTCAGCTAGTTTGTGGGCTTTATAAAAACAGGCTGGAGCCCTAGCCAGTTTGGCTCAATGGATAGAGCATTGGCCTACGGACTGAAGGGTCCCAGGTTCAATTCCTGTCAAGGGTACATACCTCGGTTGCAGGCTCCTCCCTGGCCCGGGCCCTGGTTGAGGCTTGTGCAGGAGGCAATCAATTGATGTGTTTCTCTCACATCGATATTTCTCTCTGTCTTTCCCTTTCTCTTTCACTCTCTGAAAATAGGCTGGATTTGACCTTAGGCCATAGTTTTTGCTGACTTTGTATCTAGATTAGCATTTATTTTACTTAGTACTGGATACTTGGTAGTTATTCTTATAATGTCTTAATGTGATACTGTCTTCCATTTTTAATTATTGAGAAGTTAGCTGTCAATCTAATTATCCTTTCTTTTTAGGTAATGTGGTGATAAGTTTTTCTTTCGTTGTATTTTATTTTTTAATATATTTAAAAATATATATTTTATTGATTTTTTACAGAGAGGAAGGGAGAGGGATAGAGAGCTAGAAACATCGATGAGAGAGAAACACCGATCAGCTGCCTCCTGCACACTCCCCACTGGGTATGTGCCCGCAACCAAGGTACATGCCCTTGACTGGAATCGAACCTGGGACCCTTCAGTCCGCAGGCCGACGCTCCATCCACTGAGCCAAACTGGTTAGGGCTATTTTTTAATATTTTTATTGACTTTTAGAGAGAGGGGAAGGAGAGGGAGAAAGAGAAACATTGATATGAGAGCAGAACATTGATTGACTATCTCCTGCACGCCCGCTACTAGGGATTGAGCTTGAAACTTGGGCATGTGCTGTGATTAGGAATCCAACCTGCAACCTTTCAGTGCATGGGATGATGCCAAATCAGCTGAGCCACACCTGCCAGTGCTTCTTGGTTGCTTTTAAGAACTTCTTATTGTCTTTGGTGCAGGTCCCTGTGATATATCTAAATGTCGCTTTATTTTCATTTAACCTGGTCAGGATTGATTGAGGATCCAGAATCTGAAGATTCGTGTCTCTTTACCTATGGAAATTTTCAGCCATTATTTTTGCTCATATCATATATCATATCATATAAAACATAGGAGGTAGGAAAATCCATTTGAAGGTTTTTTGCAGTTATAATGTAAGATATTATCTATTATATTATTTAATACGATGTGTTACTTAAAAAGAACTCCCTCCTAGTATTGAGTGCTAGACAATTTCTGTGTAGATGACCTCATAAGCTTCCTTTTAAAATTTTTAAAAATTTTATAGGCAAAAGCTTTTAATAGAACTTAGTTATGTAAAGTACTGTACACTCTAAAAGATGTAGAAAACTAGAGTTTCAAGTCTTTATTTAAAAAAGCTATTTAGCTTCATTGAAAAACCAAATGTAGAGTACAAGACTGCAACAAGGGCTATGGCAATTCCATGGCATCTAGACCCCAAGTCTTTCATGCTGTCAGTCAGTGGATATCACACTGATCTGCTGTGTGGACACAGGCATGTCTAGCCTAGGAGTGAGGTGGGGAGTTGTATCTGGGTTCTGTTGTCAGTTCGTTATTCTTGAACTGGAACAGGCCAAGAAATAGCTAGCATGAAGGATTAAGTTGGAATGCGCCTCTCCCCTCCCATACCGGCTTCACCCGGACCGCAGCCCCCGACGCCCGGGACCGCGGGGCGGGCGGCTTGTCCCTCTTCCGGGCTGCAGCTGCAGACGCTGGTGCCTGGGACAACAGGGCAGATGGCTTATCCCTCTCCCAGGCTGCAGGTGCAGATGCAGCACTGGCACCTGGGACCGTGGGGATTGTGGGGCATGCGGATTGTCCCTCTCCCGGGCTGCAGGTGTAGGCACAGCTGCTGGCACCTGGGACCATGTGGCGGGTGGCTTGTCCCTTTCTCAGGCTGCAAGCGCAGGCGTAGCCGCTGGTGCCTGGGAAAGCGGGGCGGGTGGCTTGTTCCTCTCCCGGGCCGCAGACTGGCTGGTCCCCATTCTGCTTTTGTGAGCTCATTTGTGCCTGGCTGGTCCCCATCCTCTCTCCCCAGTGTTGAGTGTCTGAGCCCTTATGGCGTGATGGAGTGAGGGCGTGACAACCATTTGCATATTAGCTCTTTATTATATAGGATATCAGAAGTCTGGCTCCCTGTAGAAGCCATTCATCCAGTTTTGTGCAAAAATGAGAATTTCCTTGTCACTGCTTTCCCTCCTATGAAGCTTCTGAGAAGGTATATTCATATCTGCTCCAAATGCTGCTGCTCTAACTCATAAGCTCTCTTTTATTTAAGTTATCACTTTTTTGGTTTGGTTGCTGAGAAGTATAGCATTACGTATAATACTAATATGTAGTGTCTAAGAACTTAGTACATTTATTTGTGCACATTTTATCCTGTATATAATTATACATGATAAATACACAAGTATTTTATATTATCAATATGCATTTTACATTACTAATAGTTTGCTTGATCTTTGTTTTTTAAACTATATTCAGAACAATCCTTTGTACCTGTATGCAGTTAATGGATTAATTGGAAAGCTACTGATTGTTATTTGAATGCTTCTTTAAGTTTGCAAGATTTAGGCTAGTGCTTTAACATAGACTTCTTTCATTTTAGAGAACTCAATTTCCTGCATCTGCTGAATCTCAAAAACCCCACCTGAAAAAAGGTCTGTATACAATTTCATTGTATATTTGCAGATTTCTCTTATTATTTCTTTTTTCTATATGAATTAGAGCTTCTTAAAATATGATTGTTGACAAAAGTACTATAATTGGGTTTTTCCATAGCTAGTTTTTATTTTATGGAATTGTTAGGTATTGGAAGGTTGATTTTACCTGTAACTGTGTTTAAATGGAGTTTTATTATATAAATGTGTACTAATTTCCCACTTGTGAAAAAACCACTCTAAAATTCCCATAAATACGTATCAGGCCTCAATAATCTCATATATATGTTAAGTAAATGTGCAGTTTTATAAAAATTGAGTCTGGGAAGCCTAACTTGGTAAGGACCTATACCAGTGGTTCTCAACCTTCCTAATGCCGTGACCCTTTAATACAGTTCCTCATGTTGTGGTGACCCCCAACCATAAAATTATTTTCGTTGCTACTTCATAACTGTAATTTTGCTACTGTTATGAATTGTAATGTAAATATCTGATATGCAGGATGTATTTTCATTGTTACAAATTGAACATAATTAAAGCATAGTGATTAATCACAAAAACAATATATAATTATATATGTGTTTTCCGATGGTCTTAGGCGACCCCTGTGAAAGGGTCATTCGACCCTCAAAGGGGTCGCGACCCACAGGTTGAGAACCGCTGACCTATACTGTAACGAAGTGCATTTTATAATCTGATAGGAATATGATACATATTTTATTTAGAGGAACAGGATATCTTCATTTGTTAACCTATAGCCTTAGGAGGGTTTGCATCTGGTTGTAGGTTACTATGTATATTGGATATTTTCCTATGCCTCAACTTTTTATTTCACCAGGCTGTACTTCCTTTGCAACATGTGTTTTCCTATAGTCTGCTAAGAGTTTGAAAGTTAATTTATCAATAAATTGTTTAGTTTACTTGGGGCATTTCTGTTACTCTTTGAAATTATAATTTAAATTATTGGAAAATCTGATTGCCTTTCAGGAATTTATTTTCAAAGAGTTTTCCAGGATTATATCTTTCACTGAAAGAGCAGTACTTCTATAATTTAGATTATTTGTTATTTAGATGTAATTCTGCCAATCCTATATAATAAAAGGGTAATATGCAAATTGACCCTAATGGTGGAATGACCAGAACGACCGCTGGACCAGTCACTATTAGGTGCACTGACCACCTCTTGGTCCCTTTCCCAGGCTGGAAGGCTCTGATTGCCTGATGGTGAACGGGGAACCGGGGATGGGTGGCAGGGGACGCAGGCGACGTCAGGCCAAGGCCCCTTTCCTGCCAGTCGCCCCACACACAGAGGGTGACCTGCGGCAGGGGTGGGGCCGGCAAGCAGACATGATCGGCCGACCTCTTGGTCCCTTCCCCCGGCCGTCAGGCACCCATCACCTGATGGCGAACGGGAAACTGGGTGTGGGTGGTGGCGGGGGGCAGGGCTGGGGAAGATGGCCCTGACTGCAGGCCAGGCCTAGGGACCGTACCCACGCACGAATTTCGTGCACCGGGCCTCTAGTATTTAACGTAATTGCTAATATTTTTATACTATTTCTGGGCATGAGAAATCATCTTCCTATGATATGTGTTACTTCATTTAATCACCAGGGTAATTTGGCTAGTTAAGTGGGGGTAGTGGGTATTGTGATTATCTCTCTATTGTTCTTTCCACACTTCCTTCAGAGTCAAACCCAGAGGTTTCATTGATTCCCAGACTAGGAGATCTGTAATTAGTATACACCAATCAAGAATTGGCCCATGCCCAATCCCAGTTAATAATATACAAAGTTTATAGCTATGAGGAAAAGGGACACAAGCTATGCTATAAAATTTAATAGTGCTGTCCTGTCCCTTCTAATCAGTTCTTTCTCCCTTCTTCACTACAGAGCAACTGCTTTCTTATTTCTGTTATTAAAGTTTAGAATTTCCTGTTCTTGAACCCCTCATAACTATGAGTACTTTTTACCAGATTCCAGGATCAGTGATAGGTGTTTGGAATACAAAGATTAATAGGGTATCAATTCTGCCCTCAGGGGATTGACAGTCTTCAGGGTATCCTATATAATAAAAGCTAATATGCTAAGTGTCCGATTGTTCGTTTGATCGGTCGACCAGTCGCTATGACGCGCACTGACCACCAGGGGGCAGACACTCCGACTGGTAGGTTAGCTTGCTGCTGGGGTCTGGCCAATTGGGACTGGGTGAGACAGGCCAGAAACATCCTGGAGCCCTCCCGCAGTCCCTGCCGGGTTGGTCAACCTCCTGCGGTCCCTCCCCGGGCCAGCCGGTCCTGATTGGGACTGGGCGAGAACAGGGCCAGACACGCCCTGGACCAATCCGTGCATTGGGCCTTCTAGAAGGCAAGGGGTCCCTCAAACTTTTTTAAAACAGGGGGGGCCAGTTCATTGGTCCCTCAGACCGTTGGAGGGCCCGGACTATAGTTTAAAAAAAAAACACTATGAACAAATTTCTATGCACACTGCACATATCTATTTGAAGTAAAAAACAAAATGGGAACAAATACAATATTTGCATTTGCATGTGGCCCGTGGGCCGTAGTTTGAGGACCCTTGCTCTAGAGCAGCCGTGGGCAAACTACGGCCCACGGGCCGGATCTGGCCCGTTTGAAATGAATAAAACTAAAAAAAAAAAAAAGACCGTACCCTTTTATGTAATGATGTTTACTTTGAATTTATATTAGTTCACACAAACACTCCATCCATGCTTTTGTTCCGGCCCTCCGGTCCAGTTTAAGGTGGCCCTCGAGTCAAAAAGTTTGCCCACCCCTGCTCTAGAGTATAAGCAAATAATTAAAGTTCAGTATATGCTTCCTAGGTCCTTTCTTTTGAAGGTTAAACATTTCCAGTTTTTTTCAACTCATCACGTGAGATGTTTAGAACACTTCACTATTATTGCATTGGTTTTCTGGTGAAATGTGTTGGTACCCTAGGAAGTACAGAATTCAGGACTAAATAGAGTATTTATGGTGTGGTGTGAACAGGGCCATATGGAATGTCTGAAAGATAAAATCTCTTCATCTGCACCTTTTATTTATGTTAGCCCAGCTCAAAGTTTCACTGCCTTTTGGGCAACCATTTAATACATTTGCAATATTACTGTATTGCACTGTGGCAGGGGTATCATTCATGTAGAATACAATGACTGCAATAAAAATGATGCTTTGGAGTTGTGCATGGTGGTGACACAGGCCCCTAAAATATCGAGGATATAACAACATGCTCTTAATCTTCCCTTAATTTCTGGCTTCCATAACCCATAATTTTATCTATCAATACGGTGGATTACATTGAATTTTGGAATGTTGTATCAACCTTGCATTCCTGGGATAAATCTCACACGGTCACAATATATTAATCTTTTTATATATGGCTGGATTCAATTTGCTATATTTTGTTAAGGATTTTGCATTTGTGTTCATGAAAGTTGTTGGTTTATAGTTTTTATTTTTTGTGATACTTTTGTCTACTTTGCGTATCAGGGTTATGCTGGCCTCAAACAAGTTAGGAACTATTTCCTGTCCTAGTTTTTGGAAGATTTTGTATAGAATGGATATTATTTTGTTCTTAAATGTTTGCTAGAATGTGACAGTGAAGTAATCTGGGCCTGGATTTTTT